TAGCCTCCACACTTTGTGGGATGATGACTCTACTGGTAGACGGCTGTTTATCCTTGTCCTGGTGCTAGGAATGATTTGTACTAAAATACCTTTCAGCTGCTTGTTAATCCAAGTTTGCAAAGGAGCTAGCCAGCACGTGCAGACTGGCATGTTTCCTGAATGCAATAAACTCAAGGTCTCACTGACATGATATGCTACTTCAGTCAGTGCTTCCTTGACTTTGGCCATCACTGTACACCTTCACCATGTTTGCCATACTAGGGGTATAGCATGTGTATTCTATATCATTTACCTTATTCTTTTAACCCGACTTTTTAAAATTTGAATGAGATTTATTTTTAAAGGAAGCAAATTTTTTTAAATCAATAACATGAATAAGAGCTATCACCCCAAGATACTGAAGGTAAATGTAAAGTAAATGTAACAATAGCAGTATAGTAATGTTATTAAATTTTACAGAAGGCAACCAAAAGGAATAATTTTAAAGAGTAACTTTCTCACCAAGTTTCTATGTTAGAAAATGCTGTTTTGCAGTACCATTTAAAGTCATCTCTAGCACTAGTGGTGTATGCCTTACACTTTGGGAAAACTAAACTAAATGGATAATGATACAGTACCGTGATGTCAGTCAAATTACAGCATAGACTATAAAATTCATATTACTAAGCCTTGGGGCAGGATTCATTATGCACCAAAAAAGTCTGCCCTAGATTCTTGGATACCAAGATAGTACCACAGGGTAATAATTCTTCTCACATGCCCAGCATTATTATCCTCAAACAGCTAAGAACCAGTGAGCAGAGAAAGACCAAGGCCAGGTTTTAAGGCATGTGCATGTCACCAGAGAAATCTGCTTTAGACCTTCATGCAAAACCTGATACTTTTTTAGTCATTTTACAGCATATTCAGATACCAATTTCATCTACTCCATCCTTCCATGTTCTGAAGAAACAGTTTATTTTATTACATATAAATTTTAGCTATTGGCCTTAGTTAAAAAAAAAAAAAAGAATCCATCAAGTCAGGACTTGAGATGTCGGGCATGCTCCTTGCCTCTCCCTGGCTTGTAAGGATGAAGGCTTTGTCCCATTCCTTCCCAGACAAGACCCAGCACTGTAGGCGGGGCCTGTCCAAGATCTGGAGGTGGTGAATGGCAGGACCCAGGTTCCCACCAGAGTCCTCTCTGCAGAGCACATCCAGCCATTCTGGAGACAAAACTGTACACACTGTGCTCATTCCAAGCCTCTCTACTTTCACTTCAGAAAAAGTCCCCACAGACTATATATAACCATAAGCCTCACCCTGTCTCCCAAAGCTCACTCTTCTCTCTTCTTAACACAACACACAATTCCCTTGACTTTGTGCCTGAAATATCTGAAAACAAAGCCACAAAAGTCAGGGTTTGGAGGTCCTGGCAGCTCTTGTTGGCCTAGGAAATGAGCCTGTAAAAACTTCTCTCCTCCTCATTTACAGATTTTTTTTTGTGAAAGAAACACAAAACCTTTCTTTTCTCTGCCATTTGAGCAAGGGAATATCAGGAAAAATCCAATTTTGCTCCTAAAATCAAAGCCAATGTGAGCTTAAGACAGCTCTAGCATCTCACCCTTTACCAGGAATATCCTGAAGGCTGCCCACATCCCCATGGGAAGGTGCAGGGTGCCAGGAGCTGGGTGAACTCGTGCTCGTGACCACACACGCAGCTGCTGGAGGAAGCTCAGTAGGGGACTTGTGGGCGATGGCATCTAAGAGCTTGCTACTCAGTGTGCGCAGTGGACCAGCAGGGTCAGCATCCTCTGGGAGCTCTCAGCAAAGCAGAATCTCAAGCCCCACTCCCAACCTACTGCATCAGAGTCTGCATTTTAACAACACCCTGTGGCTATTCACTGCATGCTCAAGTTTGACAAGCGCTGATCCCATGGACTTGAGTAGTCTGAGACCAGCATCGTGCCTTCCTCCTCCATGGTCAAGCAATGCTTAATGTCTCCATCAGGAATTAAGGAAATCAATAAAGGCCCCACTAATGGCAATGGCCAGCCCTGGCAAAGGCCCTGCTACAACTCAGGGACTCAAAGGAACAACCTCTGAACATGGAGGGGGTTGCTCAACTGGTGCAAGGGAAGACAAGAGACTCATACAGGCCTCCAGGCCTGAGCCCCAAACCCTTACCAATGCCTGCACCCACACAAAGGAGGGGTTCTCACACTGACTCTCCGACTGCAGATTTTGTGGCTTTTATTTACCTACTCAGTTGCCTAGGAAATTCACATTACCGTGATTTTTACCTGTAAACAGATGAGAGGAAAGCACACTGAGGTCTGCCTGACCTGGAAATGGCCCAAGTCCCATGTTCCTATTGGTTAGAATGAACGGTACTCTGTTCTGCTCGGTCATCTCTGCAGTGTGTTCACAGCCTCACAGAAAGCCCGACCCCTGCCATCCTCTGGTGTGCTGCCCACTGCCCCCCCGCACTCCAGGACACACCTTCACGCTGCGGAGCCAGAGAAGGTTCTGCCGGAGTGGACAGGGCAATTAACTCCCCCTCGGCATTTCTATAAAAGGCTGACCGATAAGGTAAAAGACTGCAGGATCCCTCACAAAACTACCTCAAAGGTGTGAAGGAAAGGCTGAAAGTGAGGACAGAGTGCAAAGAGGAGGAGAGAACACCTTTTTGTGTCCTGACACTGACTACGGTGAAAGCTTAGCTTCTTTTATCAACATGCTGGGAGGCATGAATGCACACAGAGGCAGATAGCCCTTCTTTGTCGGTAGGAATGTTTGAAAATAAATAGCTGATGTGGGTGGGAACTGGTAAAAGTGGTGATCAAGAATGCTGACTTTCTACAGAGCATCCCGTCCATTAGCGTTATTAGCATAACTGGGGGACTTTCAAGCTCTATGTTTTCTCTCCTCCAAATAATCAAAGGCAACACTTCTCCTTCTCAAGTATTTCTGGCTCCCTGCTTCTTTTCCTTTCTAATGCCAATTTCAAAATTGCTATTTTATTTCTTTGGGTTATATGATTTGTGACAATTTTACGAAGTCACTGCTTCTTTGCAAATTTAATAGCCAGCCACCCTTTATAACTGAGATCATGCTAAGGCCAGGGAGAGCAGGTTGAGTTATGTATTCCTTAGATAAGCATGAGACAAGATAGCCTTAGAAGCAATTCTGGCCTCCAACACCAATCCAACCATACACTCAGGGTAAGGGAAAGTGCTCATCAACCGTGTCTGTGCTGAGCTGAGGAACAGAGCCATGCTTGGCACTGCCTGACACCCGTCCCAGGGCAGCTAATCTTTAGGGTGAGGATGCCATCCCAGTGACCTATGATTGGCTTTAAAAGATGATCTGTTTGACAAATTCCTCACTGAGAAATCTGTCAAGCAGACACCACAGCAGGCGCAGAAGCCAAAAAAGTAGGTGGAGAAAGACCACAACAAACTGGTTGTGGAGAGGCCAGTTCCAGGAGAGCAGGTCAACAGGGAGACAGAGCACCCACAGACAGAAGCAGGCGCACTAAGAGGCCAGGAAACCCCAAAGGCGAAGGTGATGTCTGATGCGAGCCCCATGCCAATGCTCTTGGATGTCAGCTCCATCCCCTCCTTTCCATCAAATCCCCTTTCCCTGAGCAGATCTGGGTGCCGTTGCAACTAAATAAACCACCATAAAACATGCCCCCACACTAAGTGTTTTCTTCACTTTTTCCAGTACTTCAAGGTAAGAAATAATTCTCATGAAAAATAAAAGTAGATCCTATCTTAAGAAACATATGGCTTAACTTATAGACAGTTTCCAATTTACCGAATGCAATAGGGAACAGCAATTTAAAAGCTGTTAAAAGTAGGGGGGTTCAATTATTTTTGTTTCACCATGTTTTCAATCAAGTACTGATTATCATTGCTGCCCTATAACAATGACCCCAAAAAGTAGTGTATCTGGGCCTTGGAGTTGCTGTGGAAGACAGGAGACTAAAAGATCCAGACCTGATGTTCATTGAGAAGAAACGTAAAGAATTTTATAGAAAAACAAAACAGGTATGCAATAGGAGAGAAAAAGATTATCCTTTTTACAAACAACTCAGAGTATGTTGGGGCCTATCCAGAGGAATTATACCAGAGCCCTTGCAAGAACTAAATCTCATCACTTAAGACAGGACCACTGGGATCTGGCACTTTAACTTAGAGTAATTAATCAAATATGCAATAACAAGCAGGGTTACCAACCAACTTAGGGAGTGCTCTAAGGGCTATGAAACGCAAGGTTAAACCAGGGTCCCCATTTAAATATAACACAAACTCCAGTGGGCAGGCCCACCAGTGGCCTAATTAAAAATAAATTAAATTGGCAGAAGATGCCTGGACAGCAAGCAGGTCTGTTCGCTGCAGGAAGACAGATTCTGAGCCACTGGCCGAGAAGCTAGCCCCTCCCTAGGAAGTGTCCCCTCGCCTCAATAGCCCCTCGGTGCTGGACAGATCACCACACCACCAGTCCTCAAATGTCACATTCAGGAAAATGAGGGAGCCTGATTACATGATTTCTCAGACAATACTCTAACTCTTGAGAAAGTTATCATTCAAAACCTGTATTATGGCCCAGTCAGTGTGGCTCAGTGGTTGAGAATCAACCCAGGAACCAAGAGGTGACTGATTAGATTCCTGTGAGCTCGATCCCCAGTAGGGGGCATGCAGGAGATGACCTATGATGTTTCCCTCTCATCGATGTTTCTACTTTTCTATCTTCCTTCCTTCCTCTCTGAAAATCAGTAAGAAGATATTTTAAAAATAAATAAAAACTGTGCTATGGTAAATACTTTGTAAGTTAACTAAACTATTCAATAATGGCATTAATTTCATCTTAAAATTTATACATACCTTTCCCATAGCCATCAGGTGAAGTTCCTCCAATAGCTTTTATCCACTTCTGCTTATTAACTCCCCCCCCCCTCCTCCCACAACATCAGAATAGACAAATGGACAACTCAAGTGGAATCCTTTTCTTACCATTTCGGGACACATCAAGTTCTACCAGCTGCATGAAGTTTGCTATTTCTGGAGGGAGCCGCTGAATTTCATTATCACTAAGTCCAAGCTTTCGTAATTTGACCAGCTGGAAAAATTGCTGAAAAACAAAACAGTTTCACATAAGTCTCATATATATTTGCAACATAAACTTTTTGTCCAATACAAAATTTAAAGCAATATGTCTTTTAAAAATTAATGAGAATTATACCAATATCAATTTCCTGATTTTGATACTGTATTATAGTAATATAAAGATATTACCACTGGATTAAAGTGAGTACAAAAGATATTTCTGTTCTATTTTTTCAACTCCCTTATTAATCCACTAGAGGCCCAGTGCACAAAATTTGTGCATTCGAGGGGTAGGGGGAATCCTCAGCCCTGCCTGTGCCCTCTCATGGTCTGGGAGCCTTCAGGGGATGTCCAACTGATGGCTTAGGCCCACTCCCCAGGACATCCTTGGAGCTGCTGTGCTTGCCAGCCATGAGCCTGGCTTCAGGTTGAGTGGCACTGACTACCAGAAGTCAACTCTTGCATTGAGTGGGATTGGGCCAAAACGTGCTCTTCGACATCCCCAAAGGGATCCCAGATTGCAAGAGGAAACAGGCCAGGTCAAGTGACCCCCACCAGTGCCCTACTACCGGGCCGAGGAGCGATGCAGAAGTTTGGCCAGCTGGGGAGGGACTGCAGGAGGGCTCCAGGGCTTATCCAGCCTGTCTTGCTCAGTCCCGATCGGCTGGACCCCAGCATTAAGTAACCTACAGGTTGGAGTGTCAGCCCCCTGGTAGTCAGTGCACACCATAGCAAGCAGTTGGGCAGCCTTAGCATATCATTAGCATATTACGCTTTGATTGGTTGACTGGACGACCAGACGACCAGACACTTGGCATATTAGGCTTTTATTATATAGAATAATTAAAAGTTTTTAAAAATGAATAAGTAACTCAATGAGAATAATAAGTACTCCTTCAAGCTATCAGGTAGGTGGTCACTTATTTTCTATTTATGAAAGCTGATATTAAATCTGCAATATTAAATAAACATATGCAAAAATTAGAATAAAATATTTTAAAAGACATTTTTAAAAGGAATAACTTTTAAAAGTGTTCCCCTGGTTTCCAGTACCCACCTAGCACCATACATAGTTATTACAATATTGTTGATATATTCCCTATGCTGTACTTTACATCGCCATGACTTTTGTAACAACCCATCTGTGCTTCTCAATCCCTTCACCTTTTCTATCCAGTCCCCCAATCCCCTTTCCTCTGACAACCATCAGACTGTTAAATGCACAGTGTCTTTCAGAAAGCAATTGGGTAACCCATAAAACGTAAGTCTTCAAATCCACTGACATAATGACGCTTTAAACACTGCCCTTGTTAAATAACTGGAAATAAGAAAAAACAAGCTACAATGTATGATATGCTGAAAATCAGGGGAACACTTTGTAAAGTATTTGATTGCCTAACCTCTCTTTTTATCAGTAAAAATGGAAAACACATGTCAAGTATGGGGAATGACTAGCATGTTAATGAATAATTTGATATTAAGCAAGCAACAAAAATGGTTTCTATAAAGGCCACATTGCTTGAAAAAGATTTACAATGCAAATATAATTTTTAAAGGAAACAAAACTGCAGGTACACTGTAAAAATATGTGTGCATGTTGATAGGAAGAAAACGGGGGGGAGGGGTCGTAGAGGGTAAGTTATACTAGGTAATAAGGAAAAAATGCATAAAACAACTTAAATTTTTATTTAAAAAGAAAGGTGTTTTAAAATAAAATGCACTATTAATCTCTGAAAATGAATGCTAGCACTTAGCTGTATCTTATAATGAAAGCGCTCGACAAAAGAACTAATCCTTTGGACTTCTTTAATCATTCGGTTGAAATTTAATTTCTTAAGGAAAGGTATTGAAATGTCTTTATGCTGGTTGTACCAAAGCATTAGCTGACTCAAAAGCCATTCAAAAGAGCCACATATTTGAATAAGTAAGCTATGCCAATTTTCAAAGAGTCTGACAGTTTCATAATGCATCAATGTGTTTACTCAAGCATGAAAAGCTCACTTTGTTTTCCAGAAAAAGCATAATAGCAACAGCACAAAAAACATCACCAATTCCTTATATTCAGGGATCATTCAGAAGTAATATAAGAAATCAAGTCAATAAGGTACTTAGATCTACAGTGAATAATTAATTAGTTGTATGTCTGTGGAAAAGACAGCTTACAAATCCCAACATCCAAGAGAAATCATAAAAGAAAGCACATTTAAGTTTTGTTCTGAGTGATAAAAGCATCCTCAAATACAGCTTGTCACAAACACCACTTCGTTCTACTTGGGAAGCACATCCAGATGTAAAAACAATTCCATCTGCAGGACCCCCCAAAGGAAAATGAAATTCCTCAAGTCTTCCCTCATTATCCTAATGGGATCTTCATTTGGTATCCACAGGCTTTAAATTAACTATTTTCTTATAACAGTGACACAATGCCACTAAGACTTTATTAAATCCTCTAGTTTTCAACTTTCTCAACTAGGGGAAAAACTCAACAAGCTATAAACCCTCTGCTTTCTCTGAGATTAGCCAGGGACATGGAGAACGATTCATGTAGCTGTCTTGGCAGGGCGCCTTGGCCCAGAGCGGTCATGTGACGGAACACACAGACACCATTCTTCAACTATACCATGTTTGATTAGAGCACTCTGGCCCCCGCAGAGCACAATCTGTACAATTATATGCAAAGAAATCCAAATTGCCTTGGCTTGTTAGGCTATACCACAGCCGTCTTATAGCCACCGTTGTTTGTAGCAGATGTAAAGTCTTTACCTTGGCTGAAGAAAATGTCTCTTTCCCCCCACGCAGCTTCATTTCTTTTAAAGTATGTTTTTATTGATTTTTAGAGAGAGATCAAGAGATAGAAACATGGATGAGAGAGAAGCAACATGAATCAGCCACTTCCTGCACAGCCTTCACTGGGGAAAGAGTCCACATCCCAGGCATGTGCCCTGACTGGGAATCTTTTGGAACCAGCAACCTCTTGGATCCTGGGTTGACACTCAACCACTGAACCACACAGGCGGGCTCCCAATCTTCATTTTTGACAAGGTTCTTTTTCCTTCTCTTTTTTATATATGTATATTCTTACTGTTTCAAAAGAGGAAGGCAGAGTGAGAGAAAAATAGAAATATCAATGATAAGAGAGAATCATTAACTGGCTGCCCTTCTGCACTCACTCTATAATACTAAGGACTGAGCTGGCAACCTGAGCAGGTGCCCTGACTGGGAAACAAACCCTGATTTCCTGGCTTATAGGTCAACACTCAACCACTGAGTCACGCCAGCTAGGCTTTTTCTTTCTTTTGACATAGTATTAATACCTCCCTTCTTCTTAGAAAGGTACATAAAGAAATCTCAGTCCTTTAAGAGTTGTGTCCTTTGTTATTAGTCAATGTCCCCTCATTGCCCAAATGTCTCCTCTATAATGTAGAGAAAAAATAAACCACTGCCACAGATTAACCTGGGGGGCAACCATGTAAGAGTGTTATTAAAATCCTAAAAATTGTTTGACTCCAAGCTAAAAATGGCACCAAATTTACTCACAGATTTCCCTTCTGGAGCCATTTTAACCTTCAACTAAAGGTTAGCCCCTTTTCATCCCATATCACTGTCATCACAGTCCTACTGCTGTCCCCACTGGCCTGAACTGGCCTTGTGAGTAAGCTCCTTGGTAAAGACATGGTCCATCAATGGTTCTAATATGAAGGTAAGATTCACACTTTTTACAGTATAAATCATTTGGCAATGTTCTTCTCTATAAGACTTATAAAAAGGTCTTTATTACACAGAAACCCTACACATATGCCTTTAAAAAATCACTCTCATTTGTTATTCCACAACATACACAAGAATGTGCTTGATAGAATTATTCAAAAAGCCCAACATTATAAATAACCCAAACTCCCATCAACATTAGATCTGATAGAGGAATATTCTTACAATGGAATTCTAAACAACAATGAAAATGAAAGCTTCCTGTTAGTCATGATATGCAGGGATCTTAGTAATAACATTCAGCAAATGAAGGCAAACAAAAGAATACAGACATTATTCTACTAACATAATGTTGGGATAATTTTAAAAAATCACCAAAACTTAACAATTTTTCTTAAAGAGACCCATAGAGGTGGCAAAAACTATAAAAAAAAATAATAATAATAAAATAAAGCAAAGAGGTGATCACTATAAAATCAGGTTAGTGATGATATAAAATCTGAGTGCCGACGAGAGGACTGTGGCCAAGAAGGGCATGAATTGGGCTTTTGCAGTCCTGACAATGTTCAACTTCTCAACCTGACCGGTAGTTGCAGGTATTCATTTTATGATTTGTTATAAGCTAAGCATTTACATCTTATCCACTTTTCTACTTCACCATAAGAAATGTTTTTAAAACTACTCAACTCACGAGGAAGGAAAATACCAGACAATCTGCACCAGAGTTAAAATTCTTTAACCAAGTGATTGGTGTGCCGCGAGAATGTTTAAAACATGCCATACCTGACTATTTGGTCAGAGGCCTTTTTTCCCTTACACTGTCCTTTTTTCCCTTACACTGTCCAATAAAAAATAAAAAAAATGACAACAGGCAATTCGACAGCCGTCCAGTGTGGATAATTCAAAATTATACCTATATTTTGTCAGATTGGCAGAAAATACATTTTTTTGGAGAGGTGCAGAATTTTAGTAATTAGTTTATGTGTGCCACGAGATAAAAAAAAGGTTTAAGATTGCTGCTTTAATTCATCAGTTAATGACAATGAAAACAATGGCATATATCTGGAGGTGAGAAACAAAGTGACCACAGTAACAACAGTATCAGCAGTGATGATGCTAGTGCCATTATGACACTGCTGTTATGATACAGTATCAACCTTTATGGAGGGATTCTCTATGGTTGGCAGTGAACTAAGAACTTTACATGAATTACATTCTTTAATCATCTCAACACTGTCACTATGCTGACACCTACATGTAACAAGTTTTGGTGCATAACAAACCATCCCAAACTTAGTGACTTAAGAAAACTATACA